TTCAATGGAAGGACAGTCTCTTTCAGAGAAGCGCACAGAGAGACCTAACACTGAGCTCCCTCAAAACTGTGAAGTGCATGACTACTTAAGAACCTACAGTATGGGGGCTGAAGAGTTGGCTCAGTGGTTAAGAGCATTGCCTGCTCTTCCAAAGGTCCTGAGTTCAATTCCCGGCAACCACATGGTGGCTCACAACCATCTGTAATGAGGTGCCTTCTTCTGACCTGCAGAATATTGTATACATAATAAATAAATAAATATATAAAATAAAAAAAAGAACCTATAGTACGTTTCATCTTTCTACAAAGTGGGGAGAAAAAGACACCCCACCCTTTTCCAGGGACAAAACTGGTCGGCCTGCCAAAATTAAGTCTTAAAAATGAAATCTTGCTGCCTGAGGCTCCACAGTAAACAAAAGAAACCTAAATACACATTACGGACTATATGTAGGGTGTCCTTCACTGGGTAAGAACACCATTGTTGATGGACAGGCCCTTGGAGGTTTCTAAACATGGCATCCGGCCACTGTTTTAGGCTACCACTTCCAAATGCTTTTGTATTGGACTTGAAAGCCAGCTCCAAGGTTAAGAGCACTGGCTGCCCTTCTAGAGGACCTTAATTCAGATCCCAGCACCCACACAGCAGTTCCCAGCCATCTCTCATTTCCAGTCCCAAGGGATCCAACACCCTCTAGGGGCCGCCGAGGGCACTACACACGTGTGGTGCACATATATGCATCTAGGCAAACATAAAATTCAAAAAAAAACAACTTTTTATTTCTGTACTGACCTCAACTTCTATAAAGAAAGAGTTAGTTTTATTATCAGAAACAGCACTTAAATCCTAGTGATTACAGGCGTTTATTTCCAAGCTAAACACACTGAATGTCTGGCCCTAGCTAGAAGAGATACACACACACCTGTGGAGCTGGCAGCTGACCATGCACACACATGTAGTACCAGCAGCTGGCCGAGAACTCTGCGACCCCACAGGGGACCGCCCAGGATGGTACTTCCACACCTGCACCCCGGGACCACCCTCAGGATCTGAGTCAAAACAACCAGAGACCACATTCTCCCAGGACTTGGCAGGCTGATCCGGACGAGCGCATGAACACCATGCAAAAAGGGGTGACTAAGCATTTGGTTTGTGTTTATTTTCCCACTCCAAAAGAGAGAAATCGTCATCTATAATCAGTAGCCTGGCTCCACCGCTGAGTTAAGGGATAAAACTGGATAATCACTCAAAACACTGTAGCCCCCATCTAAGCCCCAGATAAAAGACACTGAAGACTCGCTCTGACTCGTCCCCCATAGGATGCAGTCCTAGGGAAGAGGTCCCTCACAGGTCATTCTCCCCACAGGCAATGGTGACCTCTTGCCACACAGATGCCAAGGAGCAGAGGATCCACTCTTCTTAAAATGGGAATCATAATGGAATGAGCCGCCTGCACCAGAACAAATATGGGAGTCCAAAGGCTAGACTAGAGTGTCTATTGGTCTTGAACCTGACTGTGGAAAAAGAGGTCAAGCTGTGTAGTACCCTGAGAAAGAGCAGAAACCCAGAAGCGGCAGGACAGCACTCAGTGAAGAGGGGAAGGGCGCCCCAAACTTCACTCAACACTGGTAGGGATGAAAACACTTCCAGGCACTTTGGAACATAGTTTGGTGATTTCTTACCAAAGTAAACACGCAGTTACCACATAACCCAGCAACCCTAATCCTGGGTATTTACCCAAATGGGCCGAAATCTTTTGTCTAGACAAATGGATGGGAATGTTTAAGGCGGATTTACTCACGACCGCCAGGACTTGCAAACAACTAAGACGTCCTTCGGTAAGTAGATGAGATAAATGGTTCCATCCAAGCACTAAAAAGGCACAAGCCGTAAAAATAAATATTGTAGAGCGGCTGGGGAGAGAGGGAACCTGCTGGATAGTCAAGAGGACTGGGTTCCAATTCCCTTAACCCAAGTAAAAGCCATGAATGCTGGATGAGCCTAGAAATCAGCCCTCAAGAGGTGGGGATGGGGGACGGGGGGCACGGGGGCTCTAAGCAAGCTGGCTAGCTAGACTAACCTAATCTGCAGGCCGTGAGTTAAAGTGAGAAAGATCTGGCCCCAACATAGAGATGAAATCAAGGACACACACACCCCAAGAGCATGGAGGATCCTTCAATTCCTTCTACCAAGTGACAGAACCTGACCTGTTTCCACACCATACATATAACATCGTGGGAATGGCAGAACTATACAGTAAGGGCTCAACAGTTTCCAAATCTTGCCGGAAGAAGCAAAAAGGAAGACAGAGAATTACTACGGTGGCAGAATTCTTCGTTAACGCTCTCAGGGTGAGCGATGTCTTTGTCCATTTGTCCAAGCCCACAGAATATACAACTCCCAGAAAGCCCTGATGTAAACCATATGGATGGATATGGGACCCTCGACTCTTTAATAAGCGCACTGCTCTGGTACTCTCGGGGCTGCCGGTGGAGGAGGCTGTGCCTACCAAGGGTGTAGCAAGCAGGTGGGAGAAATGACTTTCTGTCGATTTTTACCAAAAACCTAAACCTACTCTAAAAAAAACCCAAAACCTACTTTTTTCATGGCTCTCTGTCTCTCTGTCTCTCTCTCTCTTCTCCACGAACAGCCTTCATCGCCTTTCGTGCTCATCAACACGGAAGGTAACATTATAATTAGAAGAACTAATAAGAGCCAGGAAAGCGAGAAACAGGATGATGTTCCCGATCTTCCTGTCAAATTAACGACAACTGTGGAAAATAGTAGAGACCTCCCTGGCCTGCCCTGGCCTCGTCATAGCCTTCCAGGTTGGTTGGATCTGTCAGGAATCCACACAGCCTGACACTGGCAGGAACTCTACAGGTGGAACTCTGCTCTGCATCCACAAGCCATTGGAGAAGCTGAGCCCCACCCTGCCCCCACGTCTTCAACCCAGGTCAAAAGCTGCAGCAATCCCTTCACTGCACAGGACAAATAGCTCCTAACCCCTGCCAAGAATGAGGGACCCCGATGGACCAGAAGCACTTTTATCTCTCCGAATACATTGGGATTAAAAAAGAAAAACCCGAGACCTACCCCACACTTTCAAACTGTCAGCATGAACAATGTCAGACCCTTACTGACTGGAACTACAAAACACTTGCTTCCACAAGGGACCGGAAGGCATGTTAGCTGCAGTTGGGAGTGCTAAGTAACAAAGCTGCCCCTTTGGGTACACTGTCCCCAAGTATTCAGGACGCTTCTGGTCTTGCACCTCAGTAATGAACACATATGCCCCGGCGAGGCCACAAAGTCTGTGTACTAGCGACAGGCCTACTTAGAGGTCAACAGGTCAAACCGATAACCTTTTCACAGAGTCTCCTGCCTCTCAACAAACAGCAGCCTAACCTGCAGGGCAGAGGCTGGAGGTAAGCTCTGTTCCTTTCCCCAGCTCAAGGTCTGTGAAAGGCTGATGCTTTCCTTTACAACGAATTTAAAGTAGTTTTCATTGACATCAAATCTTAAATAAACAATCGCCACCGATGTCCTCCCTGCTCCCAATCAACTCTGCCAAGTCCCCTCTTGGGCCAGTCAGACTGGAGGCTTGCAAGCCATCAGCTCCACAAACCGGTTTCCTTCCCTATCAAAAGGCCGGTCCAACAACTTGCAACCTGGAGATGCGTGCTTGTCGGTCCAGCCCCAGGGAACCGGGCTGTCGAGAGCAAGCAGGGTGCCTTTCTACAAAAATCAACGGGCTATTTGGGTTACAAATCACACAGCCTCCTTGGCAGAAACCTGCTATCTACACAAACCAAGAAAGGCCATGGTGAAGCCCGGCACAGGGAACACACACACACACTTCACTTTTTCTTGGCGCAAGGGCAGCTTAAATTTGTCCCGTTTTCGTCTCCAGGATGTGATCCTTGACCCATCATCAAATTTCTTTTCTCCGCTGGAAGGTTTCATCTAATCAGCTGTGTGCAAGCGGCTCTGGCAATTTATCCTCCTTGATTTCTTGACATTTTCTTCCGTGCTGCTGGCCGGGAAACTGTTTTGATCTGAATAGGGTTGTCTGTGGGGGATTCTGCATGTTAATGATGTGGAGTTGGCAAGGATGGGAGGTGAGAGCACAGCGCGTACTTTTTCTAGTTACGTTTCGCCTCATCACCGCTACGGGGGCCTTTCCACTCTGCTACACCAGGAGGCTGATCTCAGACTAATCTTACCCTCGGTCCAGGGAGCCTCGAGGGGCCAGGTAGAAAACAGAACAGATGGCCTGTGTTCCCGTCAAGTACCCAGACTCATAGGCAAGTACTCCTAAGCACTCCACCACCAATGAAGGAGACGCACGTACACCCTTGCTCAGCCAGGCGGTCCCAGCGGCCACCCTCCATCCTGGCTTCAGATCCAACCCTGTCCCAGCCAGTGCCAGACGCTACACTCTCCTCCCGCCCCCCTTCTCCGTACCCGCCCAACCTAGTAGTCCAAAAGGACAGGGATTCCGAACGAGGTACTGGTGTAGCCCCAGTGCCCGCCCTTCCCTCTCTATCCTGGCCAGAAAACTCCACTTCCCGGATTCCGGGCCACTCTCTCCCTCCCCCTGCGCCGGCGATCCAGCAAAGCGCCGTGCTTCTGCCAACTGGGTGCTCAGCCCAGCGACACACCCCGCCTCCCCCGCTAACCCCCAAACAGACCCCAGCTTCGTCCATTCATGAGAACTGGGTGGGGGTGGGGGTGCGCGATTCGGAGTCTCCAGGCACCAGAGGACTGAGAGAGTCCCACCCCGCCCCCCAAGCCACGCCGCCAGCCTCCAGCCCTGCCTTGGAGGGGCCTCCACCCGGGACGAAGAGGAGACGTGGGGGGTCTCCCCAAGCACCTTCAACACCCCAAGGGAGGGAGGGCGCGCGTGGACCCCGAGTCCGATTCCCTGTGTCCCCAGGCCCGCAGCCCCTCGCGAGTGCGCGCCCTCGGGGTCCCCCACCCGGTCGGCGGGGTGCACTCACGATGGTCACGCTGGCTTTGCGCAGGTCGCGGTTCTCCTCCTGCAGCGCCTTGCACTTGAGTTTGTAGGTCTCCAGCTCGATCTTCAGCACCTTGTTCTCCTGCTGCAGCGAGGCCAGGCGGTTGGTGAGCTCCTCCAGGCGGAACGGCGAGATGACAATGCCCCCCGACTTCCCGCCGCCGCCCCCGCCGCTGCCGCCCGAGGTCGCCGAGCAGGACGACTGCATGGCTGCCGGGCCGCCGCC